GGTGTGCCTGTCCAAACCTCATGAAGTTCAACAAGGCCAAGTGCAAGGTCCTGCACTCGGGTTGGGGCAATCCCAAGCACAAATACAGGCAGGGCAGAGAATGGATTGAGAGCAGCCCTGAGGAGAAGGACTTGGGGATGTTGATTGATGAGAAGTTCAACATGAGCCAGCGATGTGCACTTGCAGCCCAGAAAGCCAACCACATCCTGGGCTGTGTCAAAAGAAGCGTGGCCAGCAGATTGAGGGAGGTGATTCTGACTCTCTACTCCGCTCTCATGAGACCCCACCTGGAGTACTGTGTCCAGCTCTGGAGCCCCCAACATAAGAAGGACACAGACCAGTTGGAGCGAGTGCAGAGGAGGGCCACAAAGATGATCAGAGGGCTGGAGCACCTTTCCTACAAAGACAGGCTGAGCTTGGGGTTGTTCAGCGTGGAGAAGAGAAGGCTCCTGGGAGACCTTATAGTGCCCTTCCAGTACCTAAAGGGGGCCTAAAGATGTGGAGGGACTTTTTATCAGGGATTGTAGTGATAGGATGAGTGGTAATGGTCTTAAACTGAAAGAGGGTAGATTAGATATTAGGAAGAAATGCTTTACTTTGAGGGTGGTGAGACACTGGAATAGGTTGACCAGAGAAGTTGTGGATGCCCCACCCCTGGAAGTGTTCAAGGTCAGGTTGGATGGGGCTTTGAGCAACCTGGTCTAACGGGAGGTGTCCCTGCCCATGGCAGGGGGGTTGGAGCTAGATGATCTTTAAGGTCCCTTCCAACCCAAAACATTCTATGATTCTATGAATATGAACAGTCAGAATTCCTCCTTCATATATGTTTCCAGGAGAGCTCTCACAGCCTCAGATGCAATGCAATTGCATCTTTTCCTGGTTTATAGCAAAACCTGACATAGCATCAAAATTGCCAAGCATTTGGTTCATCCATTATGAATCTTGTTTTCTTTCATATACCCGATGGTGGCAGAGCCAGAGTCGATGGACTGTATTGTGTGCTTCATAGGCATGAAGCAGCCAGACAAGGATATGTAACAGTCATCAGTGTAACGAACTTTATGGCACAAGTGAGCAACTGCTTGAAGATTTGCTGAAACCACAGGGAGAGCTAGGCTGCAACACCTGACTTTTTCCACCTTCTTATAAGCTTACGCAACTAAAACCAACAGAAATAAGACAGGTTGGCCTACCTGCATTTAGACCCAGTAACATAGGCTATCGGGTCCTACAGACACAGAAACAGAGCACTCAGTAATAATTCGTTCACATCAGGACTTTATGGAAGGTATAGCAGCAATGTTTAGCTGAGATTGTCTTTTAGCTGACAGGGCTATACCGCAAAGTATAAAGTAGTGTGACAACATCATTAGGACTGTGTTCTGTGCCTACTAATGAGCATAAAAAATTCTGGCAGCTTAAGTTTTGCAGAATGAGTGTTCTGAAAAAAAAATGGTATTTTTTACTTTAGACATTACTTGTGATTTTTTCCCTTGCAGCTATATTATTTCTTGTAATTAATGATTTATTTTAATTACAGAACGCTCTTTTACTTGTTAATTCTCAACTACAATATGTTCCTAGGTGTCACCACAGGAGTTTTGCGAGAAGATGTGGATCAACAGTACTTATTTTTGGAATTATGAGTGTGACGCACTTTCTGCTTATGTGGCTTTATGCAACAAGCACAACATTTGCATTAAATGGAGGACACCCGATTACTGTTGTAAGCAGATAGCCATGTTCTATACCCCAATGTGGCTTTATACTGCTGCACTGTTTACTGATGAATTAAAAATATATTTATTTCTTTTGTTATTGGAAGTACTATTTCATTTTGTCACAGCATTAGTAAATGGGGGTACAAGTTCTTCAGATGTATTGTTTTAGTCAGTGTATCATGAATCAGATTTAATCTTGATTGAATGAATTGCTTATCTAAAATACTGTTAAAAATACAAATGCATGCTTTCCGTGATGCACTCACTTGTTCTTACTACCTGTTTATCCAATCAAATGCTGAAAAAGAGTAACAGCAGCACTCAATGTCCTATTTTTATGACTTGCAGCACTGAGTTGTCCTGAGGGCAAGGAATACCAGCCTTGTGTGCAACCCTGTGAAGCCAAGACGTGCTTGAATAAATGGTTCTATGAAGATTCTCCCTGTTCCTATTTAAGGGAAGACTGTGTGTGTAAAAATGGCACTATTCTGCATAGAACAGACTCTGACCTCTGTATACCTGAAGGAAAATGTAGTAAGTGCAGCAGGACAGAGTGGTTTTGCTGATATGCTAATATTAACTGCAGCTTAGTGTAAGCAATGTTTACACTTCTGTGTCAGTCCCCCGTAAGTGTGAATCTGGTACAGGTCCCTTCAACAAAGCCTAGCTTTATCTCAAGCTGCAGCAGTTTGTGCTTTCAGTTCACTTGGATTCAACACCCACTGCTGATGTACCTCTGTTGGGGGAAAATGATGGTCATTCTTCTGTAGCTCCCAGGCCTTCTTTCCTGGAGTATTCAGGAAGGAATAGCATGGACAGGTTCTTTCCCTTGCAGTCAGTATTTATTTTCACCCATAGAGAAGCATTTATTAATGGGTTTTTTAAGGTAATCATCTTTTCTTGGATTCCTTGATCATAGTACTCCACAGTACTTTTATTTTATGCAATAATTTTGTGCAATTCATAGTTGCTTGTAGGAAAGCTGCGCTCTCTACTTGCTGAAAGGATATAATGTTTTTTGTCTCAGCATGTACAGATAACAAAGGACAACCCCGCTCTGCTGGGGAGATCTGGAATGGGTCCATGAGAGGCTGTTGCATGTATAACTGTTTAGAAAATGGAAGTGTTGTTGCTGTAGAACCTGAATGCAATGAGGATCCACCACCAGTCTGTGAAAGAGAAGGGGAAGTTATCGTCCATGTCATTGAAGAGAGAGCTTGCTGTCCAAAAAAAGTTTGTGGTATGTACCACATTTTTTCTCAGTAACAGAAGTATAAGGTAAGTGCTGACATTCACTGGCAGATGCCAATATTTAGACAGGGTTCACGGTAACATTTTTCAGAAGTGATTTTTAAGTATTCGTGGCTGGTTGGGCCAGCAAAGCAGGCTTCTTTTCTTTGTAAGAGCTGACTCACTGAAATTTTTATTTTTTTTTCTTAGAAGTCCACTAGTGAAACAAAACTTTTGTTAAAAAATGAATTTTTAAGCTCTTGGGTGGAATTTCAAAAGAAATTGATAAATACTCGATGACAGAAGTACCTTGGTAATTGGGGCAGTCATCAGAGCCCATTTGTTTTTCTTATTAGTGCCTTGGTGTCATGAGCAGTATTCTCTGACCTACTGCTGTTTGCCAGAAGCAGTATTCTGTGAGCTGATCACTGAATACTAATATTTTGTCTAGCCGTGGTTGCTAGAAAAAAGGAATAAACTTACTGCTTCTAAAATGTTAAGCAAAAGATACTTATTTCTTCATAACATCTTCAAGGAAAACAAGTACAAATGGTCCAGCTGATAGGGTGCTTTTGCTCATTAGTTAGCTACCTGTAACCAACACCGTATTGTCAATTTGTTTAGGGAATATTTTCACTGGGACATCTTAGCTGGCTTTGTGTGTAGGCAGCAGTAAATACTTGCTTTAAGAGGGATCTAACTGTGCTTGCACAGTGCCACATGAATGGACCTATACCGGCCCTGGGTTGGGCTTGGAGGTCTACATGATGGTATAGAGCACACTTTAAGATGACTTGGGCTGCTCTTAGTTTATGGATCTCAATACTGGATGGTATAAATATCTCCACCTATAGCACTTTTACCTGTATTTATTCAAATATGTCAAAATTGGTTGGTTTTTTTATTCCACAGAATGTAACATGTCATTGTGTGATGCTGCTATTCCAACATGCAAACCTAATGAAAAATTAGTGGTAGGCTACCACCCCCTGTCCTGCTGTCCACAGTACCGATGCGGTAAGGGAAACACAAAAACATAGTTACTGGGACTTTTTTTTTATCACACTTTCCATCATCTTTTGATGTTTGTCTTTAGTGTCACTTTCGATTAACCGTCAATTTGGGGTGTTTCATTCTACTAAAGAGATGAAGAAGACATTTTCTTTATCTTTCTAGTATTGTTTCTGTGACTTTTAAAAATGCTTTTATTTCATAACCCACAGAATGTGATCCTTCAGTTTGTTTCAATGCTTCCCAGCTGGACTGCAGAGAAGATCAATTTATTGTTGAAGCAAAACAGGAAGATCCCTGTTGTTTCTCTTACCTCTGTGGTAAGAAGCTGCTAATATTTTTACAGAAAACTAAGTTAAGTATTTAAGTAAATAATTAAGTACTTACAAAAACAATCCAGAGGTCTAAACCTAGTAACTTTTATCTTTTTACCTAGTATCTTTTATTTCCAACACCATGTTGAACATCATATTTTGTTATGCTTTTATATTTGAATGTCAATCTATAAAAACTCTGTTATCCAAGTAACAAACATAATATCACTGCTATATAGCCTATTAAATAGAATTCACATATGCTAAATTTTCAGTATTTAAAACTGTGTAAATATCTGATTTTTTGTTTTTAATTTAGTTTGTGAGTCCTGTATTGAGCCTGTTCCCTTGTGTAATGAAGGGGAAATTCTCACTGTAGACCTTAATACCATACATTACTGTTGTCCTCATTACTACTGCGGTGAGTGTAATTGTCAGTTCAATACATGACCAAATTTAGTATAAATTACATTCTTGGGGTATAAACGTACAATTGTTCATATATTAAAGCACCTGTAATAAAATAGCTTCCATGTTGTTCCTCTGTTGTACCATTCGTTAATGTTTAGGCAGATTCTTTGTATTTTTAGTTTTTAGGGGAAGGAGCAGGCCAAGAGTTTCAAATACTGCTGAGCTGACTACTGTTCAAACAATGAGCAGGCAGAAGAAAAATATTTGCAGTGTAATGTAGTCACTTTGCTAGCCTTATAAAACACAGAAATTGTACTGTATGTTCTTAACTAATGTCTATAAGTGTTACTGCTTAATTTAGATCAGTGGAGTATTCCTGCATTAACTCTTGACCTATTACAGTCTTTGACTAATTTAATTTGATTAAATTGTCTTCCAGTAAGTTTAGAGCTTAGTGATTTTTACTTCAGCTGGTTCCCCATTTTGGTCTTTCCCTTTTCCTAGTACTTGCATCCAGGTGAAAGTTTCTGCAAGGGCTTTTGTCACTGTTTTTGCCAACTTCTAGCAGCTAGAAACTTAGTATGTGGGTTTTTTTCAGAGTCTTGGTAAGCCTCCTCTCATAAGACAGGCAAGTATTCTCTCATTAGAGTGGTCCTAGGAGGGCAGTTAATCCCTGTTATCTTACAGAAATGTGCCTTACAACAAAGCTGAGATGAAAAAAAAAGCACTTTTTTCCAAAAGCTGTGATTTTAGTTGTCTTTGGTACTGGTTATAAGCTTGAGTCACTCTGAAGCAGGAAGAAAATTAAATGACTTCTGTGTGATCCTTTCTGGAAATTTAAACTTGTTCTGAGGCTACTAAAAGCACTTTTGAAAAACTTGGTTTATTTTTCAGTCCCAAACATAATTGAGATGCTTAAGAAACACAATAAAGAAATCATTATTTTCAGAATGTATAATATTTTTTAGGATTATTTTTTAGTTTTGAAATAGTTTATCAAGAGAAATATAAGCTGGAAAAGTCAAAGGAAATTTGGAGTAAATTCTCATACCTGTCCTTTCCCCCCATTTAGTTTGCGATGAGAATCTTTGTTCGGAGCCCCCTATGAATTGCACAGATGACATGACACTTGTGAAGGAAAAAATACCTGGGCAGTGCTGTCCAGAATGGCACTGTGGTAATTATTGCTTTATTTCTTAGTCACTGCTGTGTAACAATTAGCTAACTGACTAATATGCTTTTCTTGTTCTCTTCTCAGAATGTAGCTGTGAAAACACTACTATGCTGACCTGTAAATTGGTAAGCACTGCCTTTCACTTCTTTTTATTAATAGCGTTCAGCCCTCTTACTCCTCCCTTTCCACTCCTTGTTTCAATTAGCTGTAAAGGGTGATAAGGCTGAACAGGGACAGGCTGGGACACTGCCTCCCAGTCCCCAGCTCAGGCATGGGACTCCATCAAGTGTCTGCACAGTGCTGTCAGCTATTCCCTGGGGAAATTTCACTTTGTATGTTTTAAGGTGTCAAAAGAAGAAAAGCAACTGTTATATTATTCTGTTCAGTGTTGACTTGAAACAATATGCTGCGAAGTTTTTGCCACGTAAACAATTCCTAATTGTTTTTAATAATTAACAAGGGATGAACATTATGATCATATCTATCACCTGGAGAAATGTGTTATTTTGTTAATAATTTATGCTTTTAATTAAAATGGTTTGACGTTATTGAATTCAGCTGATATGAGAAGTCATAAACATTTTGTTCCTCGCATACTTTCTTGTAATAGGGACTGTGATCTGGAAAATAATTATGAGTGAATGTTCAAACTCCCATTATTACCACTGTGACAGGGATATTTTCCCTAGCAAATGCCTGTAGCTTGTCCTTCTCTTCCCCTTACATGAGGACTGCATAACATAAAGTTTAAACAGGAGCTGAGAATTTGAATAGTTTTCATCTGTCTTCTGGAAGAAAATTCATAGAAGGCAGACGTTTGCTAATATATTTATTATTGAAATAACTTTGTATCTCAGGAAAAAATGCTGTTTCAGCCACTCTGCTGCTTATATGCATTCCTAGGGAAAATGAAGTGCTTTGCTCCTGTTTAGAGAGATAAATACATTGAATAACTCTGAATGTGCTACTGTTTCTTGAGTACACTGCAATTTTTCTTGTTTATGAAAGAAGCGGTGGAAGTGATGAAAGTAGTATTTTACATTTTTAGAGAAAAACTGTCTGTTTGGCGCTACATATAATTGTGCATGACTTTGCAAACTCTTTTATCTTTTTACACTAAGGGAGAAGTTAAAAAAATAGATAGTAGCATATCCAGCGCTTGTGGATGCACTCACTACATTTGTGGTAACTTTTTCACATTCCTATCTGTTTTGTTTTAGCTTACAGTAAAAAGGGCATGCAGAGAAAGCAGAAATAGGACCCTAATAACCTTCTCAAATGTAATCACCCTTTTATCTTGATTTTATGGGTGCCTACCTAGTTATGCAATTCTGCTCTCTTTTCTGAATATGATGCTTTGTCTGCTAACCCATCCATTTTGTGTCTGTTCTGGTGGGGGTGTAGGAGTGTCATAATTTTGGTTTCAGTCGGGTATGGTCTCTCTGGTGAGAGGCAGATAGGCGGCAGGTTGTGAACCTTAGCTGAGTGTGAGCAGTTCGACTGCTCCGAGTCCACTCTTGAGCACACACGAGATGACATCTCACACCAGAGCAACAGACCTGTCCAGCCAGCATGAGGGTAGGTGCCTAACCTTCAGATCACACCTCTGCTCCCTTCCCTCACTCAGCTACCCCATGCAGACTAAATTTCAGCTGCACTGTGCATGGAGGTCCTTGAGGTATGCTGCAATCCTGACTGCAGCCGAGGCTAAACTGCCTCCGGGAGCAAACTATACACACACACACGGAGTACAACTTGAGCATATTACTATCCCACAGGTAATTGTAAACGTACAAGTTTAATTGACAGAAAGGCTACATTTTGTGATGTATAAAATCATTCATATAGTGTACTTAGACCAATGTTAAATATTAAAAGTCTTTAAAAAGAAGAGCAACAGATTTTATTTTTTTTTTTACTTCCATTGTAGGCAGTTCTGCATTTTGTAGCATTTTCTGAAGCTGAATTATACCTCCTCCTCCCCTCCCCCCCATTTGGTAATTAAACCCACAAACCAATTGGGTCTAAAAGTTAGAAAACTTTTGCAAAGCGTAGGACTGCCCTACTTTTGTCTTCAGTGATTCTGTTAATTTGCTTGATGATTCCCCCGCCCCGGTAACATCTATTTCTTTTGGTGTTAGAGAAGGATGATGTCTGTATCTTCCAAGAGGTGACAGTACTGAATCCTGGGCAGTCAGTGGTTCAGTACTTGGATGGAGACCTTTGTTACACTGTACAGTGTTTACAAGAAAAAGATCAGATCACGGGATACAATGCCATGCATTTTACAATGGTGAACTGTTCCCAGCAATGTGAAGCTGTGAGTATTCTTAATATACTGGAATGGTGCAATTTGTGACCACAACTGCGCAATTAGGATAAAAGTCAAAGTGAAGACTTTCGCTAGTCCTGTTTGCTCAGCAAGAACTTGAGAACTTAACAGTGATGATGTGTGTATCTTGTGCCTGCAGCATTATTTCGAGAGGCAATTTCTAGTAGCATACGTAAACATATCCATCCATCCATATATTGTTTCTCTTGGTATTTTTAGTTTCAGAAATCAATGAATTTTCACGTAGTGTATGTTAAAAAATACTTTTTTTTTTTTTTTTTGCTTTCCTTTCTTCCCAGCATCAAATATATATGCCTTCTGCTAGTCACCATACTTGTTGTGGTACCTGTCAAAATGTGTCCTGCTCTTTTCATACTGAGAATGGAACACTAATTGTGTATGAGGTAAGTGCCTCTGGACAGAGACAGAAAATAACTATAATGGTACGATAAACAGGTGTCTGAAAGTCACTTCTTAGTTAACTCGTGCTGTGAGTCTTGCTTCATACATCCTTACTGCTGGTTATGCACTTAGGGACTATTTATGGTATATGATTGGAAAAAAGTGTGTTTATTTAAAGACCTGCCATTTCACACAAGGTGAATACCTTATTTCATTTTATTGCTTGTAATATTTTCTACAAAGATAGATGAATGTCATCATTTACTTAAGGTTGGATATGTTCTAAGTGCAAGGTAGGAATCAAATTGCATCTCTAAGTCATAGACTGGGATCTAGATGAGTTCGGCATTTCTGAGTCCACATCAGGACTCCTATGTCCCCCTCCTCCCAGGACCACTCTTCTCCCCATTCTCTGGTTTCTACAGAAGGGAAGTGTGCAAACTGAAGCACTGAGGTTCAGGATCCTGATGGTGCGTTCCAGCATCCACATACCACAAATTTAGATGTGGCCACGACTTAGTTCACACTTCCCATCGCTTCTGGAGCAAAAGAAAGTATTGGACTTTCCTCCCGCTGCAAAGCCCTTTCATTCTGCACTAGGACACCCACGCTGGGCAGTATGCTGGAGAGTAGAGCCATGGCTGCAGGGAGGAGTAGTCACTGGTAGTCAGTAGATGGGTTTTCCCTTTGCTGCCTATGGGTGGTTTGCAACAAACTTTCAACTCCAGTAGGTACTACAGCATGAAGGCACCACTTTTACAGACATTTGGAGTTGGAGATAATGCTGAAATGTTTTGTCTTTCCTGACAATGGTTTTGTTTTATATATTCAGGAGGGAAGCACCTGGAGCTCCAACTGCACCAACTACAAATGTGCTAAGACTGCAGCAGGGGCCATCATACTGGCATCAAGTGTTGTCTGTCCCCCTTTTAATGACACTGAGTGCACAAAGGTTTGTACTTTTGGTGAGGTAAGTGACAATAACTGATCTGGAGTTTGGCTTACACTTGACAATGCATGCATACCTCATGCACTTCCCTTAAACTAAAAAAGTGGTAAGTAAAAACACGTAAGTGACCAATTTACAGTCTTGTTTTCTATGTTCCTGTTTGCTTTCTGACTGACAAAATATCTGTGATGAGTATGAAAGTTTGCGTTGGGTCTTAATGATGACTGCACTTAAATTATTGTGGAATTGGAGTCACGCTTGACATACCACTATGCAAAATGATGATCACTATGTCTTACTTTAGTTTGGACTAACACTTTGCCAAGTTTGTAGTACACATACACTAAACAAATTGGACCGAGCAATGTAGAAATGCTGCATATAAAAGTGGGCTATATTAAAAATTCCTTAAGCTGTTGCAAAGATTAGAAAGATGACAGAGTATATATAAACTTTGTATAACATAAAAAAAATTATCTATAATGCATGAAAGGATATCTACCTACATGATATATCTAAAAATGTAAATGTGGCATATCCGTATAAACTGGTTTGAAGAATGTGGATGCTTCATGTACATTACATATTTGTTTACAATTTTAACTTTTCATTTAGTATTTCTCTAGCTTTATAATAATTCTTATAATCCTAGTTTTTGCACTTGCAGTACACCATATATTTAATATAAGCTACAAATAGTAATAAAATAAATATACATGTAGAGAGGGTAAGTACCAGAGCTGCCTTGACTACAGATTATAAATTTAGCACAAGTCCTACTTATCCATTGCATTTGTTTAAAAAAGTCCTTATTTCTTCCAATCCTCAAGAAGGCATTCTATCTAAAATTCATGCCTGTTCTACTTTGATGTTATGCTTCAGTTTCTTCCCTGGAATCCCTTTGTCACCATCTATTAGGATTTTCCCTTAGTAATAATGGTTAAGTTTTTAAAGAACAGAGCCCTAAAATTAACTTCCTGACTCAGTCTGACCTGTTTTTCAGAGATGCTGAACATAGACTTGAGCCAGTAGTCAAGGAGAAAGCTCTTCTGACAGGCAGCTCAGGATAATTTAGGAATATGGATTTAAGAGGCTGTGTTTCAGTGATCATTTAAGAAGTTCTTGAACAACTCATTCAGTAATTTTTCTGTAACAAGATAAAAAATACATGCTAGCATGAAAAGATGGAAGTTTAAAATGTCTTTTTTCTGTTGTTTTAAGAGTGCTATTTATGGTGAGTTGTCTGCTTGATATGCAGTTCTGAGCTATGCACTAAAATTGCAGACATTTGTTCCCAGCTTGCATCCATTCCAACAGATTCTGACAGTCACTCTCTCTCCCTCTCATGCTCTCTTTTAATTTCAAAAGGATATTTTCTTCACTTTGATATATTTTTACTTTCTTGTTAACAAGCAACTTTAGAAGAAAACAATAATAGGCTATAATTGTTTCAGAAAAAGTAGAGCGCAAAAATGGTTCTGAATTTCTGCAGTTAATGTTCTCTTTCAAAAGTGTGTATATATATGCATATATATTTAATCTTGTAAAGAGCTACTTACTAGGTATTAATTTTCTCCTTGGCATATGAACAGTATAAATCCTTTTTTACATCATCAGCAACGCTGCATACATTAATTTTTAAACTGCCCTAATAAATCTCAGTGGTGGGGAAAGAGATGGTAGTGGATGATATAAAATGATGCTCACAGAAACTAAGTGGCTTATTCAAAGGAGACCAGATCAGATCGGATAAGCAGTGACAAGTTCATTTTCAATGGTAAAGGCTCTAAAGCGTTTGTGAACCAAACCTTCAGATGATACATATCTGTATTCTCTTGATTTCAGTAATACTATCTTTTATTAGTTAGGCATCTTTAAAACATGGAATGTCTTGAGATACAATTCACATTTGCATTGGGCACAGTCTTTTTTGATATATTCTCCTTTTATTTTCCTAGAACGGAGGAATTGTGCAGACGTATAATGATGGCTGCTGCAAGACCTGTAAGTGATAAAGGCTGCCATATGTGCTAGTTTGGCTTTGGTTTTGCAGGGCTGTGTTTTTTAACCTCAGTTGCTGGGACATAATGAAGGAAAAAGCATGCAGTCCCCCCAAAAATCACATAAAATCATTATAGTTACCTAACTACTCCTATTAAAAGGTCTTGCTTCATTTGGCTGCTGACTTGGTGATTTTTAACATTATTGTTCTGGAGTATAACCAAATCTCTCCAAGTATAACCTGTGGAAGATGAAAAGTCATCTCGATTAAAATAATGAAAACATTCTCTTTATTGCTAAGCTGACTCTAAAATATTGCCTATATGATTTTCACCATAAAAGACAAGGAATTTCACCTCTAAAATGATTTCTAATTCGATGATGTTTTGAAATATGTCTCCAAACTTTCCAATTTATTCTGTATCAGTAGGATCTATTTTCTAGGGCCAAAATACTGGAATTATTTTTTTTTTAATCACAAATGAGGAAAAGTTATAGTAATAGCAACCCTTATATAAAATTGACTTTTTAATATCTGGGAATTCAGTCACATTTTCTGAGTGTGTAACTTCAAAATATGATGAATTGTTACACAAGCTTATATAAAGGTTTCATAAGTTATGCAATTTTAAAAGTAGATTGAAAACAAAATTATTTTCCTGCAGTTTTGACTAGGAAAGGTTTTATTATCAAGGTATATAATTATATATACATAAAAATAAAACACTGTTGTGTAAAACTCATTGCACAGAGCAAGAAGGTGCTGAATGCCACAGATAATCCTCCCCCCTCTTTTTGGGCCTTTTTTGTGTTCAACATTAGAGTTAAAATATATAAGCAAATTAGCCTTTAGAATTTTTTTATTACTTAACAATATTGAATAAGAAGTTACAGACTTATTACCATATATTGCGAAGTTATTAAATAAAATTCAGAAGTGCAATGTATTGTAAATAACTTTGCAATATAAAGGGCAATATTCATATTTATCAAACACAGAACAATACTCAAAGTTTCCAAGTTACACAAAGCTTTGCAAGTGAACTGCAAGTATTGTTCTATCATAGTCAAAACACAGAAAATAACAGTTGTTTTAATACAAAGGAATACTTTTTTTCTAAAAATGAGAATCAGCAGAGAAAAGTAACACACCAGAATTGTGCTAAGATCTTATTAATCAATATTCTTTCTCTAATGGGATAAACTATGTTGAAAAATATTTAACTAAACCCCCTCAAATTAGGTTGGCTTTATTTAGAAAATTAGTCTAAAGAATTAATGGCTACTGGTTTTCTGTTGACCAGGAAGATTTATAATTTTGGCCATATTCTGTGGCCTCAGGAAAGGCATTGTTATACTTCAGAAATAACTTGCTGAGGTGGCTGCTAAAAGACCAGATATAATTCATACAATTATATGCTCTTTTATTTTTATTTTAATTTTGCTTTATTTTTAACTAAAAGCATGTGCCCTGTGGTGAAGCAGTTAAAAAGAGTACTTATAAATAGAGCTTGCAACACCTTGGGGTTTTAATGGGGACAAATAACCTTTCCGAAAGAGCTTGATTCAATGCATGCAAAGTGAGTGCATATATTTAATTCTTACCTTGCCATAGAGAGTGTCATTGCAAAAGTTTGGTTTACAAGGAAGCATCATTCCAGTTTTGTGTTAACCGGGAGAATAATAAAGTTTAGGCCATCTTTAGTGAGACCTGAAGCAGCTGCAGGCTTTCTAAATTTGGAAGACTAACAGGAAAGCTCATCACCTTTTGCTAAACGAAAAATTGCAGTTGGCAGTGTAAGAATTAATGAAATGTCATTTATATGAAAATGTTTTTATTTCATGAGAAACTTATATTCCTAATGATTCTGCCAGGTTCTGGATTGGGTCTATTACCCTTTGCCATTAGTCCAGTAGTGCCTACTGATAGTATTAATTGTGAACCAGGTATTATTTTTAATAACGTATTTTCTTTTCTTAATAATAGTGTAAGCACTGCTTGATATATGTGTATAGCTATCATCACCATTAAATGCGACCATGCAGTTACTGGTGCTGGGCCTGATACTGAGAGATGCTGATCCCCTGTTGGCCTCCCAGACAGTGTTTTTCTAAAGCCTGGTTAGGGTTCACTGCTCAGCACCTGTCAGAATTAGGTTCATCCATTTATGGTACATACTACTGACGGTTCTTCCTCCTGTTCATTTCTGAAATCAGTTTTATTCCATGAACTTACTGTACAGGGTACCTGTAACAAGAAATGTTACTTCAAAAAATACCATCCTCCTGACTACTGTTACCAAGAGATTCTAAATCTGATCACAGGTCTCTGAATTTAATGACTGAACTATTTTTGCCTTAAAATAGAGCAAGAGTGTGCATTACTGCCCGGTCTCACCTTTGCAGATATGGATTCATGCTGTATTTCTGCTTTGTCACAAATAACATGTTTTACAAAGTTATGAAAATGTTGGGGGTGGGGGGAAATGTACAATTACAATCACGCATTAATAAATACTCTTTACACCATAAATTACAGAATTTTACAGAACTGTTGCATTATGATCATAATTATTTGCTTTTAAGGATAGGTAAGTCACTGAAACTCCTTACTCAAATAAGGAGTGAGTAAAAAAATCACACCCGATACTGAATACAGATCTTCTTGACAGTTGAAGATGGGAGAGAGAAAAGTATAGCAGTAGAGTTTTCACTAGACATCAGCACCTTATACTCTGAAATGTCATGTATCTCTATACAACCTGTACAAGTACAAAGATTGTGTTGTCGACACATATTCATGCTGGCAAGCGCTTCCTGATGGAAATACCAGATGACTTATTTTTCTTACGTGTTGCTGAGGAAGGAAAACCAAGATGCTGTAGGCTGTAACAGCTTCGATCATACAGTGATCTGCCAGTTCAGTAGGAGAATCTTGTTTGATCCTGCAATGTGCAGATTAAAATCTAGCTGCACTCTGGGGCCAGGCTAATTTTTAGATACCCGGTGGAGCTATGGCTGCGGAATACCTTGGTTACTCAGAGCTCATCTATCTTATAAAAGTGCTCACAAGCTTCTGGGGGACAGAAAAGTTGTTTTTGTGTACACCCAACCATAAAGGCATGTGCCAAAGGTGGAGAACTTCTGCTGAATAGCGCTTATTATTTTATACGCTGGATGTCCAGAATGGTTGCGTAGCAAAACCAATAGATGATTTTGATGCGTAGTGAAATTGGAGATCTAAATAACTGCTGTTACACAGATAGCAATAACAAACAGTCTGATATGGACTGCCGCATCAAAGATTGTACTTTTAATTGTTTCAGTGTTACATTACGATTTTTATTATGCTAAAAATGGCTTTGCACTGTACAGCTTTGTTGGAAAAATAAAATAAAAGAACTATCAATATTTCCCAAAATGTACTTAAAAACACAGTATTTCCCTAATCCTAGATCCATATGCTGACTCAGTGCTACATGCTTCAGTTCTGCAGGTGAAAACTGCACCATATTTAGCAAATATACGCAGCCCTCTCTTTCAAAGCTTCCTTGAGGGACATCTTTCTCAAAACTATACTGAAATTATATAGTTCTATTTAAAATCTAAACATTCAAAATAGCATTAAGGTTGTAATCACATTCACAGCTTTACCTTCTCAGATGTTAAGTTCTGAAAATTTTCTAAAATGCAGACTCAAAATCTTATTTACATTCAATATTCCTATTAAAAGAGAATGAATTTTATTACTATTCAAAATCACTTGAGATATCTCTTTTTTCTAATTGCTTATATGTCTTGCCATATATGCAATTTAAAATAAAATTAATATTCTAACATTTATAAAATATGTATACCTTAACGGGCCATTTAATGCCTCACATGTGCCAGCTATAAAATCAGTAGTACTGCAAAGGAAATGTTTATTAATATATGAGATTTTTTTTCTAAACCATATTTAATTATGGAATTGATAATTTCAGTGTGTACATTCAGGCAAAGTATGATTATTAAAATTATTTTCATATTTTCACTTTTTTAGTAGCAAATACAGTACAAAAAGTGTACTGATTCAGTATGCATTTTCTGTATTTTATCAGGCAAAAAGGAAGAAAGGATTTGCCAGAAAATGACAATCAGGACAACCATAAGAAAAAATGACTGTATAAGTCAAAGCCCGGTAAGCATAAAAGACCTGTGTTTCATGCTGGGCCTACGGCGCACCATGTCAAGTATTAAGAAGTGGGTTATAGCTATCAGCAAGCAACAAAAAATGTTGCTATCTTCTCAAAAGCAGACCTTTGACCCTAGGAATGTTATCCTACTCACAAACCGAGTAAAATTAGCTGTTTCTATGGCTGAAAGACTGAGCCCTCCTACCTGGAAAAACATCTGGCTTCAAATGAAAAGTACACAGCATAATTGCTTGTAACTAACAAAGGCGCTGAACTCTTCACCGTGAAATAACTCAGAAAGAGGAGCAGAAATGCTTCCACTTAGGATGTGATGGAAACACTGCTGCATTCCTCTTGGAAGACCTTTACTCTCTGGCTGTCTTCTCCTCCACATAGCATGTGTCTCCATATCATAAATTCATGTTCCCATTTATTTATGGGTCTGCTTAAGACATGTTATTTCTCAGCTTTTTTGTAGCCCCACCTATAAAACGCAAGACATGTCTGAGCAGCAAACGTGCTTCTCGTAGCATTTAAAGGAGAAGCAATTGGCGCAGAGACTTCCAAAAAGTCTCTGGTAAGATGCTATTGAAGAGCTTAAACAGTCATAAAGAAAGCAGCAAAATATCATCACAGATTGAAAGCCAATCAGGTTAATTTCCATCCTGTTTATGTAGTTTTAGAAGAACAGTTAGTAATGAGGGAGTATAAATATGTAGATGAAATTACAGTTATTTGCCATAGTTAAGAGAAGACTGTGGAGACCTTCACAGATAATTTGACAACCTACGTGAAGGGACGGCAATATGACAAAATAAAGACGTGGTATTGACTGAAGGAAAGAATATTAAAAAGAAAGATTGGTCAAACCTCATAGGTTTTTAAGCTAGCTGAAAAGGACCTTGCCCTTGCATCCAGTTCTGCGAAACCTTCTGTTAAATGCTCTCCTGCATACGGAAAGGCTAACTAAGAGTTATGACATTTAGGGAATAGGACAGGGAGTGGAAACACACTCGTTGTAGTGTCTCTTACGAGCCGATGGTGCAGTACTACTGAGGGTGCTCTGGGCAGTTATGGTCCCTCCACATTGCTGCAGAACTAGAGAGGGTTCAGAGAGGTGCAACGAGAATGTTGGCCAGGTCATTCCACAAATGGCGCAACAAATGATGCCTTCATTTTATGGCTTACTACTGTAGACTCTTGATCTTTTCTTCCCTCTCTACCCACCTTCCAAAAAGACCTACCCCTGTCCCACCTCCTTCCATATTACAACGCCGTTTCCCCAACTATTTTCTTGTTTCCCGTTTCCTTGATGGCTCCCCACCCTTCCCACAGCGCAGGTTTCCTTACATTTCACCCAGAAGTACCTCCAGATTTTCATGTCCTCAAAATCTCTGTTCATACCCTTAGCTCCACTGCCTTTCCCCTTCAGCTCTCTCACTGCAAAACCGTTGGCACTCTCTTTCAGTAGTGTGATTTTGGCCCATCAAATAGTGGTATCTGCTATGGCTGGTTGGGAACTGCATAAGAGTTCTTTGGCCAGGTTAATGCCGTCAAACTTCAGATAGGGCTGAGTATAATTATATTTAATTAATTAGTGACTGAGAATATTAGTGCTTTGGACAAGGTCTTTTTTTCTCCCTGTCAAATTTCAGGAAAGCTGTAAGAGCAACCTTTTGGTCTAATTTGTTTGGATATGGCCCATTTGGTCACAGGCTGTTTGGAAGGGAGTGGATCAAAGCATCTTTCATACGCCTCACTTGCATAAGAAATCAGATTTAAAACTATCACAAAAAAGAACCACATCTAGTATGCCTGTTCTCGATTTCACAGCATATCGACTCTGCTTAAGTCTAAATTAAAATATATCGATTTCTTTTCTATCAGAATATCAGGTAACAAGACTCTTCACTTAATGTATTAGTGAGAGAAAGCTTAGCTCTGCTCAGTCTAGAGCACAAATAATGTTACAGCCAGTCTCTGCCCTTGCCGGTTTGTTACTGCAGCTACTTTTTGGATGTAGTTGTTACAGTGATAACGCAGCTAATATTTGTGTGCCCTTAGTCACAAGCAGTATGAATAACAAAGGGAAAAACTTTTGCTCTGGTATGCTCTTCCTCTTGAAACTTCAAGGAGAATAGATTTTCCTTCTTATTCCTTATTTCCTTATTATTATTCCTCTTGCTTAGGAGAATTTAACTTTTCAGCAGTGAACATGAAAAGAACATGAATTTATCTACACTGAAGTTATTAATTTGTAAACTAGGATACATATCTACTAGAGTAGATTTCGGTATCTACAGCACAATGTTTTGCTCAAGGTTAAGACAGAATGCATGGTTAAATGACCAAAAAAAGTTTAATTAAAAAAAAAAAAAGAAAATGTGTCTACACTTAGAATGAATTTTAGAAGATAAAATATTTTTTTAAGACCAGAGTCCTTTTCAAATCTAAAAATGGGGTTTAATCACAAAAGAGTTTGAAATGTACTATCTTTATAACATAATCTGAGATCTCTAACTTCAGTTATTCTTTTACTCAGATAAATGTGGCTTCTTGTGATGGAAAGTGCCCGTCTGCAACAATTTTCAATGTCAATATTGATAGCCATTTGAGATTCTGTAAATGTTGTCGCGAAAATGGAACACGTAATCTGACTGTGCCACTACGCTGCTCAGGAAATGGCACTGAAATTATGTACGTCATTCAAGAGCCTATAGACTGCTCGTGCCAATGGAACTGAACATTACTGTGGATGTTATTTAATGGAAGAATTAAAATGGATTTCCTTTCACCAGAGTCTCTTTTTTGACCTTGGATGGCTACAGGACTCTGCAGGGAAAAAAAAATTAAAATGTCCTCAATTATGGTTTATAATGTAACTTTTCACAAATTTAGTAGAGATTATGTTGTTCATTGTTCTTCAAATTTTCTTTTTAAATATTGGCATGTATACAAAGAAAAATATAAATCCTTTCGACAAGGTATAATTTAGCCATCATTTATTTCTACTCATTGGATTTCCAATGAGTTGTTGAAAGATGGTTAATATCTGTGTTTCCAGAGTTTTAAAATTTTGGATTGTGGCTTCCTATCAAAGTTTAGAATTTCTCAGTGGTTCTTTTCCTTTCACTTGGAAACTTCCAATTCAGAACCATCACTGGTCCCATGTTTAAATGGGAAAGAAGCATATTATTGTTTTGAGAATGACTGAATTAATTTATTAAAAAAATAGTGGGTTCAACTGAAACACTTTTCTGTATTGCTGAAAAGTCTATCTTTTGTCCATTAAGCTGTTGTGAATGAAGAGACTCTGACTACACTGTAAGTCACTGAGAAACACCACGACTGTGGTCTGTAAGTACCTGTAGTATATCTCCACAGCACATAGTAGAATCATAATAATGTCTTTAAACCTTTGACATATGTTTAATTTTGATATGAATATGAAGCATGACTAGGCAAAGGCTGAAGAGTTCCAAGCTTTTGTGCCTAAGCTGTTTCTGATATGAAGGATTCTATTTTATCTCAGTTTTTCAGTTTTCACAAATAAGGAATTGGCTGTCTGCTAGCTGTAGAATAAGATTTGATGTATATATATATTTATTGAAAAAACAGGAACTGCACATTTTAACTAGTCATAATAGGTTTCTTCCTTTGTTTTCCAGTTTGAAGATTTGTGTTCAGTATATTTTTACAAAACATGTATAACCTGTTTAATTTTTTTTTTGAAATATTGAGATTTGGACGATTGACTGAATTTAGGATTCATGATTTTTGAGTCCAGGAAAAAAAAAATCCAGGTAAAATATATGTTTCAAAGGGCTTAGGTGAGCTATTCATGTCCAATCAGGCTGCAAACGTCCACGATTCAGCACCTTAAGCTGAATATACTCTCCCTTTTATTAAACACACTACAAACTTATCTTAAAAACTAAGGATACAATTTCTGTTTGGTTTTAGAAGACTACTTTGCTTTATAAACTCACTGAATGAAACTGGTCTAAATGATGACAGTAGGAGTTTTGCCATTGACCTCAATGTGGCCAGTATATTCCTTATGGAAATTGCTTCAGAATTAAAATTCTTGTCTAAAAGTCTGAAAACTTTTGGACAAACAGTTTTTATTTCAAGCTGTCATCATTTAACTACAAAAAGGCTGTGTTATTACATCAGTTTACACAATGAAAAATACGCAATATAAAATTTAAAAAAACTTAAAATTCAAGGCTATTTTGCTACTTTGTATAACAAATCTTTAAACTTTTTCTGTATTCAGTTTGACAGCTTATAAAGAAAAACAGCATATGCTGTGAAATCCATCTTTACTAACAAGACTGCACTCATCCGTCTCCTTAAAAATAGTGACTTGGTTTAAAATTTAAAGAGCAACCCTTTGTATTATCAGTAAAATATTTAACTATTATAAAAAAGTGACCACCTAGCAATCAAAATAAAGTGCCATTTTGAGAAAGTCTATGTTTGTTTTGCAAGTTTTTATAATTTATATGGCAGATATTTCAAACTGTTATATACTAGGGCCTAGAACCAAAATATTCTCTGACGTTGCTGTTGGGATTTGCATACGGAAACTTTTAATGCAGGTCAGAAATGGAAATTTAATCATAGTCATAGCCACTATGTTTGTGTACTCATACAGCATATTAACAGGACAACTTTTAAAAGAAAAATACATGCTTAGGGTCTTTTGATTTATTAACATAGAGATAGGAATCCTATATTTGCATCAAGAGAGTTTGCCCAAAAACTTCTTAATGAATTTAGCATTTGATAAATTACTTAAAGAAGCTCTTACAAGATAGCATCTTCCCACATAATGAGCAAACACTTGATGTGTTTCAATTGAACAGCTGTGCTTTTTGTAAGCTATATGCTTTTGTAAGATTTAGAACTGTATTTGTAATTAAACAGAAATTAATAAATATTATTTTGCAGAATACTAATAAATCATTGTTGATGCATTTAATTTACCTATGCCACTACGGATGAACGATACTGCAGAACCTTAGATAAACCTGGAAATTAAAAGCAGTTATGCTTAAAATTAAGTCCACAATAACCTACAATAGGAAAATGGTGTTAAAAGATCTTTTTCCCACTTACTTGATTTGTTTTTTTTTTTTAAGTGCAACAATCACTATGACACCTGTGCCAGGGTCATACCTGAAGCCTACAGCAAAATCTTACATCTTCAGTGAGAGCTGGATATGGTCTAAGATCGCCTTTCATTTTACAACTAAACTTGAAATTCGGACTGCTTTGGCCGGGTCAGAAATTGAACATCGAATAAGACTTGTGAACCATTTTCTGGACAGCCATCCACCCCCGTTACCTCCATGAAGGTGACACTGGCACCTGGTGGTATGTTTTGTATAATGTGAACTAGCCCTTGGAGACCATGCGATGGAGAGAAAGTTTGAATGAGCCTGCAGTGTGGCAGGACTGTTCTGATCCAAATATTTCCTCAGTCTGTAACTTAAATAGAAATGTAGATGCAGTTCGTGGTTCTGCCTTCGTTTCCTCATGTCTCTTCAGCTCTGCATTCCTGTTTTTCCCAGCCTTGAATTGTGCGTAACCTTGTTTGCACAGGCGTCTTGTGGGCGGGTTTGGTAAGCTGATCCAACTCAAACCTAACCTAGTTAAACACCAAAATTAATTAGTTTGTTTATTATTGACTAAAAGAGCTTTAATACCCAGAGAGTTCCCTCCTTTCTACCCCCTCTGCAACTAAGACTTGAATAACTGCTACTCCCCTGAAGGAAAGGCTGGGAATGCATGCCTCTCTCGAACTCCCACGCTGCCACCAGAAAATGTGAGGAACTGGGGAGAAGCTGTGTGCGTGACCGAGCGCTCGCCTGGCGCGGCAGTCCTGCCGTGCCCTGCCACGTCCCCCATTCCTAGCTGGTTGCACTTGTCCTTCACTCCTACGCTTCCGCTGCTCTGTTCTCCTACTTGTGCTCTCAGAAGGAATTCCACAATATAAAGGCGTACCCATAAAACTATGCAGATTTTTTTTTTTCAGGGATTAATACAAACCTATCTCTTAGAATCAGACTGTAACTGAATATGCCTCTATAAAATAGTAAGGCTTTGGACATATTATTTATAATATGCCTTTTATAATGCCATTGCCCTATTACCAGGTCATTTTTTAAGGCCAATTCTTGCCCCAATATGCAATTAGAATTTGAAGTACAGCTTTTAATATTGGGTTTAAACCACTTACTGTATACTAACATCCAAGACATAAAGTACAGGTATACAGACAGCTAACATTCTCATTTTTAGGTAGCCAAATCTGTATATTAAAAACTGAAAGTAAAACTAAATACATTTGCATGATTTATTACTTTTCCCCATTGCAGGCAGACACCTGCCCAAATATGTGCGCCTGTGTACTGGTGAAAAAGCTATTTGCACTGCAGTCTTTGTTACTAGTTTCTTTTGAGAGCAGGATCAGGCCTGAAGTACGTCATTTGAACACAGTTACAAGCCACATAATATACTGAAAGGTGGAGGTGTTTACAAGAGCACGCTCCAGGGTGACAAACGGTCACTGTTCTGTTCGCAGGGCTTAAGTAGTCACAAAATGCTGCTTCAGATGTGGCTCCTTTCCCCTTTCTTTTGTGCTCTGTTCTAGCTGGCACAAACTCAATTGTTTTTGCTTGACCCCTCGTACTGCTGATAAACTCCACTTACAGAACATGGATTTTTTAAAATTATTTTTATTATGCATTGGTTCCATATATCTCTTTCCATCTCTTTTCCTTCCTTCTCTCCTTTTATAAGAATTTAACCGACAAACTCAATTTCCAAATATAGAGATTCACCTTTGTGTAACAACTTCCCGCCAAATAAATGTGTAGGTATCAGGCAGGAATACTGTGGCAGTAGGAAACATTGACTTGAACTAATTTTGTGTTAAGTTCTTTCCCATCAAATCCTTTTCCAGAGGTTACCTTGAGGTTATGCTGCTGGTGTAACCATGTACAGGTGTATGCCCTACCGAAAAATCCGAAAGACGTGTGTTCAAGTACTGGGGGAAAAAGCATAAGTTGTCACACCTAACTATAGCAATATAGTGATCGTGGAGGGGCAGCATGAAGGTCAGAACATCAGTAGGAAATTTTTATAGTTACAGTGGGATATCGGTACTGTATTTCCTAGATTAGGTTGGATTTCATGCTCCCAACCGCTCTGGGGAATATGTTTTCAAAAAATATTCATGACATGAACATGAAAGATACTTCGAATGATAGACTTCAGCACTTAACGTTAATGCAAAAGAAAAAAGGCTTTTATTGAGGAAATGTTATGGCTGAGAGGGTCTGTATGTAACACTGTGTACTAAATTTTCTCTAACCTTTCTTTAAATGCCATGTGGAATGTGCAAGCTGCCTATAGAACAAGGAAACTTGAAAAATTATCTATCCATTATTATTAACAAGTCACCACAGCTTAGGGTGAAAGGACATATTCAGAGCTGAAGAACAATGAACTCTAGCAACTGCAAATACAATTCATTGACTAGTTCTTGGCAGCCACATACTGACCATTTTAGAACTGCCTTTTTTGCCTACTTTGAAAAATAATTCCACCTATAGACCAATTAGGTGGTCACATGCCTGTCGAAATCAGTGGTAAAAGATTCCCTAAGATCAGAGATTTGAGAATCTCACTCATAGGAGATAGTCTGAAAAAAATCTCTTACACATGTAGTTT